TTTATAAAAAATAGACGGAAAAAAAAAAATACTTCTTCCATCATATACAATGGCAACGAGGGGGGGTTGCATAAAATAAAATGGAAATGTCTTAATCATTCATGTGTTATTTTGTGTATGTGTAACAAGTGCATTGCGGCAATTTGTTGGCGATTCGAGTTTACGCCGATATATGCGCCTCTATGCATACTGATGCATAACACACATGTTAATGCATATCTATGCACATCCCTTCGTACACATTTACACATGCGCGGTGAAATTGCAATACTTAATTGTAGTCAAACGTCTTCACAAATAAAAAAATTGCTTACTCATATTTTGCGCCTCATTGTTAACGATGATCTGACGAAGGCGTAAAATAAATGCATAAAATGAAAAAAAAAAAAAAAAAAAAAAAGTGAACAAAAAGGAATGCATTACTATGCCACAATGTGAACCAACTGCCGGAATATTAATTTAACTTTTTATTCATTCATTAAAAAAAAAAAAAAGAGAAAGTCGTTGTTTATCTTGACCATATAAACAACAATTTTTGGACGCATTAAAAAATGGGAAAACAAAAAAGTGGTGTTTGTTTTTTCTGCATATAATTCCCTTCACATTCCAATCTGTCGTGGTATGGACATTTTTTGTTTTTTTTTTAATGTGCGCCGCCTACCAACCAACACATAGGTAAAATATGCCCCTTATGTGACACCCGAAAAAAACGACAATTCGAAAGGCAACATTTGCAGAAGTTAGAAAAATGGGGGCATTTAACAGTAACCAGCAAAGGCGTAACGTGCAAAATGAAAGCAGAAATTTAAGCTGATCCTCCTACTTGCCAATTTCTACATTTCCTTTTTTTTACAACTAACACGCGGAAAAAAATGTAATAACAAGGATACCTTTTTTTACTGGGGAAGCAATGCCGCAAAGAAATGCCCCCGTGCGATATCGCAAAAGGGGAGCATAAAAGGGGAACAACTTCACTGGAAAAGAAAAAAAAAATATTAATCCACAAGGAATAAAGCAAATATGTAGATTTTGTCCCCCAGTGTATTCGATATAGTATAAGCACACATACGTGCATACCTTTGCACACGCGACAACGATTTGGAAGTAGGACCGCGTCCTCACGGCAAAGCACACACCGTGTGCCATCAAACAATACCGAGCAGGATGGTCCATATTTGCGCGAACACACAACACGCTATACTACAATATTTGGTTAGATGAAGCTTTTACAAAAATGCAAAATTGTACCTGTGGCAAAACAGTTGCTGACCCCCAGAAGGGTAAAAATCAGGGCCCATGGAACGCCCACATGCAATGAGTTCACGAATGCGGGAATCACGTCAGTGGAGAAATGCTCGCGCAGTAACACGCCCTCGGAAGGCGCAAGCCACGCCCAAAGCGCGAACGCCCTTGGACAGTCCGAACTAGTCAGACATATAAGAAAATGCTGCAGAAAAGATGACCTGTGCAGCATATACAAATTCTGCGATCAATTTGTGCACCTTCTGAAATTGAACAAAATTAACCAAGACGATTTTTCCTTAGTAATTCACCTGTTGAGTAAAAAAAAAATACACGACAACAGCTTTTGGAGACGTATAGCCAGCACAGACAATGTAAATTTCATTTTCAACATGAACTTGAAACAAATAATTCTGACCTTCTACAGTATTGCCAATTCGTACAGGTACATTGGCTTGACCCTTTTAAACGAATTTACGCACAAGTTCATATTTGTCTTAAAATGCCAAAAGAAACTCCTTTCTCTTTCTCGAGGAAGAAACGCGGTGAAGCAAAAGGCAAGTGACCCCCTCACGCGCAACAGTTGCCACTCGTACAATGAATCGAGGCAAACAATTTTTCAGCCGGTCAACAATTTTATATACCACAAAGAGGGAACTAAAATTCAAGCCTACGATTACACAAATGAATTCACATCTCTGACCAAACAAAAGGGGAACCCCACATGGAATACACTAATTTGCAAAAACGATGATCAAAATGTTGGTCCCCTTTTTAGGAACAGGAAAAATCATTTGAATGGTTTAGACATAACTCTAATGTGCAACACATATTCTAAGCTGAACAACATAGAGAACTTGAAAAATGTAGAAGAATTAAAACAAATCATGTACAAACTTTTTCTTTATTTTTTATTTTTCAACAAAATAGACTGTCAACATATAATTCTATTTATGTATAGTTACACACGGATGCGAGGATGTATACACACACACGTGCTACGCAAAGTGCAAAATGTATTACTAAGCCCTACAAATGGGCCGCAGCAGCATTTGCACCAACTGCGTCTTGTGCACACCCTGGATGTAGGTTCATTAAATATGCTAATGAATGTACTGCAAAGGGGAAATGTTAAAGACGAAACCATTTGCAAAGAAATTATCCTCTCGGTGGTTATAAATTTAAATTTGAAGAATGAAAAAAGGACCAAAATAAAGGGGTCTGTGTTAAGTGGGCAAGACTCTAACTATGCCGATCCCCTAGACCATTTTGAAGATGCATTAGGCCACGCACCTTCATATACCCTCTCCAATAGCAACAACGAAACAGACGAAGGTAGTCACCACCTTGTAACAGCCTGTACACCGCAGCATCGTGACCATTCCTGGATGCTAAAAAAAAGACAAACACTGCTTGAACATTTTACAAACAAGGATTACACGTATGTAGCGGATAAGAACCATCCGCTCGTTAAACTAAATAAGAAAGACCTTTGCTTCCTTGTGTACAATATAAATAAATTAAGAATAAAAAATTACTACAATGTGTACGACTACATAAAGAACGAGTTGAGTGCTAGCCTGCCAGTTATGAATGTGTACAGCTCCTGCATCATGTTGGACTGCTTAATAAATTTAAATATACTTGATCAAAAATTATTTAAAAAAATAATCACCACTTTGAAAATATTATTCGATAAAAATCACTATAACGAGAAAGACGTTACGGATATTTTCGCATGCCTATGCAGATATGACCACAAAAATTCGGCTCATCATATGGAAATATTCAACTTGCTACAATCGTTATATTTTAAAGTACAAATTAAATTACAAAAATATAATTACATAAATTTAATTTCGATTTTCTGTTCCGCTTCCTACTTTAACATAATTTTTACCAATAATGTCTTGCAAGATTTGTGCATAGACGTTCTTAACAATTTTGAGTCCATAAATATAAAATTGCTTCTCCCATTTCTATACTTTTTAAAAAGTAAAAATTATGAAATTAATATATATTTTTTTAACACCATCATGGAGAAAGTCCTTTCCAAAATAAAAGACGTCCACACGTTTTTTTATTCTTTTTATATTTTGTCAACATTTGCTTCCAAAACGCTACAAGAAGAGATGCACATTTTGACCAAACTGGCCCACTTACTAGAGTGCAATGAGCATATGCTAAATGTAGAAGAAAAACTTGCCATCGCATTGCACACAGTTGTAACTCCGGTGTTGATGTTAAATGAGACATTCTTCCTCTTCTGCGAAAGAGTGTTTGTTGATATTTTGTGTGCAACACCTGAGGAGGGGCATACACAACTACACGAAAACAACCAACTTGATACAACGCGGAACATAACCCCTCCCAAATGGAACAACACCTTTGACCCATATTTCATCAACAGCAATAATCATAACAATTTCTGTTTCAACACAAATTTGGGAAGTACCGAATTGGAAGTTTTTCTTTCCTTGCTATTGTCAGATATGTGTGAAAACAAACACTTGCTTTTTAAAAAGGGGCACTCCCTAACAGCACAAGATGAAAAAAACAAACACACCAAACTGCTGCAGGGAAGCCACATAAACACACGTAAATTGGACGCACAGTTCAATTATGTATATATCAAATTACAGAATGATGGACTCAGGTACTTTGTAAAAAATAGAATTCATTCGTTCGATCGGCAATTTTATGCAAGACAGTTGGACACTCAAAAAGTACACAAGTACATCACCATTTTTAACTCAACCAAATATTCAAATAAAGCGGAAAAAAATAATGGGACGACGATACAAATTTTCAACGAGATGAAGGAACACTTCCCCAACTTGGAAGAAACTCTTTTTAATGTAATCAAAATATGTTATGAGGATTTTTTTATTTACACATTTTTCGTAAAAAAAAAGGACGAACATTTTGTTAATTATTCGAACCAAAACGAAAGCTGCAGTTACGCCGATTCCTTTTTCATACACAGGAATGATACCTTAATTATAAAATTAAAAAAAAATATGTTCATTAATTCGCTCCACATTCCATATGTCTTAAAACCATTTCTGTGAAACTTCAGAAATGACCGGCGGCAGCGCAGAAAAGAGGAAGTCAACCCCCTTTTTGATTGAAGACCAATTAACAATCCTTGATTTACCTTCATGAACGACATATAACTGATAACCCCTTTGGTTAAATTTTAAATGCGCGTATTGTGTTGCCACTGTTTGCAACATCACCATGTTCATGTTGCATCCGCAAAATTCAGTATCAGTGAGCGCACATGCGTTTGGATATTGGCCAATTGACCAACTGATAGACCGCCTTCCTGCTTGCATGCTGAACTAGGCACAAGCATAATTAAGCCTGACACCCCCAAATGGTTCACTTATTGTTTTTTTTTTTTTTCCGCAATGACAATTTCCCATTTACAACTTTTCATTGTCATTTGGTTTATGTTCTCCCTTTACTACATTCGAATAACAAAAAAACACATTGAGCTGTTTTTATTCCACGGTGTGTAGTACAAGATATGAATGTGTGCACGACCGTTGTGTATGTTTATCCCCTGTGTGTTAACTCATTTATTGTATTACTAAATTTTATAATGATCCATCCTCAAGGAATACACCTTCTTTTTTTTCTCTTTTTCCACCCTTTTAAAAAGGGGATTACTACCCATGGGATGAAATCCCCTAAAAAAGTACAAACCCAAAAGTGAACTCCACATGGGAGGAATATACAGAATGTGGGGTTAATTTGGGAGATGCAAAATTCGGCTAACCAAAATTGCACATTTCCACTGATATAGCCATACGTGCCAATAGTACCCCCCGCACACAAACAAAGATGGAATAATAAAATGACACATATTATAAACGATCTAAAGAGTACCTATTTGGAGTCACCAATAAGGAGGTCGAAGTGCATCTCCCTCTATACACTTATTATTCTTTACAGTTGTTTTTTTTCATCAAATTTGCGCACCTTTCAATTTAAGCATACGTTTAATGGATTCGCGACGAGGTAGGTACTACCTGCACTCATTTTTTTTATGCCTCAAGTATATGTATCTACAGATATACCTAACCCACGTATGCATATTTGCGCGTGCCACGCTGAGCCTGGGAGGCCCTACACCGACACACAAAAATGCCCCTGCAAAAAACGCACTAAAAAAGAAGCACAAGTGCAGGCAATCTCGTATCGCCTCATGAAATGCGAAGGGATAACACTTTCCTGAGCTCAACATCAGCAAGCAAAACGTTGCGCACAAGGGTTTTCCTCACGTGTAGAGGCTGTGCACGCGATAAGCGACCCGCCTTTCCACAAAAGATATGTATTTACGAACTTACATACGAACATAGATTACTAACGTACTCTACATGCATTCACGTCCCCGTGTGCACAATGACTAATGAACGCAACGACTGGCACCCTCCACAAGTGTATATGCATTTTCTGTGCATATAAAAAAGAAAAAAATAATAAAAAATAAAGCAATAGGTCCAGGAATGGCTCAATTCCGTAATCGCGCAGTGGTGCAATCAAGTTAACCAATTTTTAACTGTCCCATAAGTCGTAGAAGGAACAGGTACCAAAACATTGCGACGTTAAAAAAAAAAAAAAAAATTATGTGCTGTAGCCGGTAACGACATGATTATGAGGGGAACACTAAATACGTGAAAAGCAAAATACATATCCCACTTTATAAAAAAGGTAAAAAAAATTATATAATTGTGAAAGGGAGATATAGCAAAGCGAAAATAAAGAGGAAAACAAACAAACAAACTGATAAGCTTCGCGCATATTTTACGCATATCTAAGAAAAACAAATTGTGAGAAAAACAATTTTCCAAAGCCTTCACTTTTTTAATATAGTACCCAATGCGCATTCGAACATATTTACAAAAATGAAAATATAAAAAGAAGCAAAAGGGGTATCACCATAAGAGCCAAATCTCACTCATGTGGATACGCACAAACATTATGAAGCATACATAAAACTGCTTGGCACATGTAGGAACGTACATATTACATTATCGCATACGTGTATATATTTTACATCCTTGTGCAAGCAACATTTCTAATAATTTACGCAACCCAATAGTAAAACTTTTTCTTTTTTTTTTTTTTTTTTTTTTTTCATAGAAAGGTGGGAACTTGTGGAGGCAAACTTTTTTTTGCACGCTCTATTAATCTTCACACCGTAAATGCTATATAGCGGTTTTGTGTCCCACAGAAAAATAAACATGCGGTGTTTAAAAAGTGTTTGGTTTGGACGTGGAGA